TACGATTCAGATAGATAGATAGATAGATAGATAGATAGATAGATAGATAGATAGATAAATAAATAAATATATACGTAAAACAAACACGATAAGCTACAACACAATGAGAAAGAGAAATTTGTAAAAACGACTGTAGAAAAGAACATCCCCACAGTCTGAGTCTGATGTACCGACTTACTTGATTTCTGGGCAATTTCTCGTGGCAGCAACGTCTTGAAGGTGTTGTCGATGCCAGCGTCCGAGATAATGTACTTGGCGTAGACGTCAACCTTGGTCTTGCCTCCGACCCTCACACCTGGTAGAACACACATGGGAGGCTACAACGCTCATCGGTTTGGATTTATGGAAAGCTCTAAAGCTCACAACCTACACATAACCTACACCTGTCTCCCAGCTTAAGTTGTTTGTTGTTGGTTTTTAAGTGAGTTTAGTGGCATTTACAACATTACCAGTTCTTGTAAGTGCCGAGGTTTTGAGGTGTTACTAGAAATGAAAGTTCGAACTGAAGAAGGAAGAGCTTTTTGATTGGAATGAAGGCGCAAACCACACCAGAGCTCCCACGGACCACCCACCCGTTAATCTGTTTTGGGCTTTTCTTTTACTTCCTTGGAGGTAAAGTTCTGGTAAGGCGGCTGGAAAGGGGGAAGCAGGATGCCCCCCCCCTTACACACACAAACACACAGCCCAGAAGAGACAAACCAACTCACCTATTGCTCGCCCATCTTCGTTACAGATGATGTTAGTGACAGGCGCCTGCACGAGAACTCGACCTCCGTGCTTCTGGATGACGTCACTCATGTGGTAGCCGATCTCGGAGGTGCCACCTCTGGGGTAGTAGCTGCCTGTCATGAAGTGCGTAGCTAGGAGGGCGTGCAAGATGAAGGGGGCATCGCACGGGAACAGGCCTGTGGGAGGGTAGAAAGGGAAGGTGTTATACCGGGTGCCCATTGCAAATGGGATCGTGCCTGGTCAGGTCGGGAGCGATCTGCTTGTGCCAGGATAGCCGCTTTGCACCCTCAATCTGGCCAGTAACCGTCCCGACCCGACCCGACCCGATTCCCCCAATGAGCACCTGTAGTAGACACGGTGCACACTGACAATCAAATTCTGTCGAATTGAGTCGGGGTTAACCAGATTTTCTTTCGGAGTCAAGTTCCTCAACTCTTGTGTCCACGACGTTGTGAGGTGTGCATCCACAAGGTTTCTGCATATCTGGGCTCTCTTCCTCTGTTAGAAGTTACCACTCTCACACAATTCCACCGAATTCGACTGACGTCAGTCGTGACCTTCAAACAAAAACATGATTATTTTTCAAGGTCGCTAGTCGAACGATCGAAAGTGTACAACGTGCGCTCGGAATACGGTAATAGACAGAGGCAGATTTGGAGAAGCTGATACTGATCGAGAGATCAAGAAAACAATCAACATTTTGCCATGTCTGTAGGGTTTTAAAAAAGCCACTCTTTACGCAGAAACTACGATATGCGGCACTAATTGAAGCAGTTATAACTGAAGGAAATTAGTGGTTGTGTAGTGAACGATAAGTATTGTGTCCGGTGAAAGTTTTCTATTCTTGTTAAATTTGTTTGCGCTAAATGTGGTAACGGACAGTGTAAGTTTGGAGAGGCAAATGCTGATAGATGTAGATGCACTGAACACGTCATTAATCGACCCGACCGTGACTCAATCCGATCAAAAAAGGGGATCCCATATTAGATGATTTGAGGACAACATACAAACGCACGCACTCACACACACGCACACACACACACACACACACACACACACACACACACACACACACACACACACATACACACACACCACGCATACACGTGCGCATATGCGCACCAATATACTACACATACTCTTCCCTCACACATCCTCTCTTCCACACGCATCTGTGGATATAACCTTACTAATATAATAGTATGCTTGCACTCACAAACAGGCTCACATTCACATGCATAATATAAATGACCAGTAAAAGTAAAGTTGTTTCCGCATCCGATCGAGACATAGGGGATTGCCTTGTTAGTGAGACAACTTCCTGGGCCTTCGGCATATTGTGGTAGGGTGGCCAGTTCCTTTCCACGCACCTTTACTTCCTCAACTCGAAATCAGGTATCCATTACTGCTGGGTGGACAGGAGGGGGCGAAAAAAATCCATGTCCGAACCGAGGCTTGAACCCGGATTTTCCGCTTCAGAGACGAGCGCACTAACCGCTCCGCAATCGCATCCTCAAATGAACAGTACAATAATCATATTAAGCTAGATACATACTCAGAGAACTAGCGACGGGTGTTACACTGGAGCCCACCGGGACCCTGCATGTGTTTGGAAAAGAGAGAGAGGGAACTTTACACCCAGTACACCCATTGGCACGATCAGTTCGGCTTGGTAAGCGGAGTTAGCCAGATTGAGTGCAAAAAGCAACCATCATGGCACAAGCAGAACGAAGCCGACGCTGACTTTAAAAAACAAACGCGTGAGTCGGGCGATTGGCTTGTATACTACCAAGTGCTCATTGGCACAATCCGTTCGGTTCGGTTTGGTTTGGTTCGGTTTGGTTCGGTTTGGTTCGGTTCGGTTTACTCGCCAGATAAAGGGCACAAAGCGGCTATCGGTGGTACAAACTCGCGGTCTCAAAACAAACACCTTTGCCTTCAAGCCCGAGCCGAGAGATCGGTTTGTATTGGAGAACCGATCGCCGAATGGGCACTGAGTTTTAGAGAACCCCCCAAATGTCACTGGGTATTAGAGAACCGATACCCCAAATATCACTGGGTATTAGTTCATATTATGAGAATAACAATACAGTCGAATTTGTCCGAAACGGTCAGCCATTGTCAAGGAGAAATGTGGTTGACTTGGAGGAGCGGACGTCCGAATATTTAAAAAGCGAAGGGAGAAGTTGAACGTTTTCAAACGCTTATCTATCCTGTGTCCGCGCGGGATACACTAAACATTTTCAGTTGGTAGGAAATTTTGAATTTTGCCCGGGTAGCGCCGAAGCCTACTCTTATCGATTTTGGACGACCAAGGGATATTTAACGTGCTCAACTTGCACAAGGGACATTCGTGATTTTTCGCGCTTATCCGAGAAGGCTATGGGTAGATCTTACCTACCATAATATCAGGGGAGTGGCTGAAAGATAGAAATAAGAAGGAGCCAAGGAGTAGCAGTCGGAAGGCTGCAGAAAGAGTCAGGAGACCAGATGAGTAGGCAAAAGGAGGTGCGGGGGTGTGGGCAGAAATAGGAGATCAAAGCTGACGACAGAACATTGTTAGAGAGCAGGAAAGGATGTGAAAGGAAAATATTTTTTCAAAGAAAATTTTCTGTCGCTTACCGGATTCAAACATGGGACGGTTGAATGAGGGGCGAGTATTTTAAGCTCTAGGTCACGAGTGCCCCCTCCTGTCATTGCTCTAAGAATACAGCTATCGTGAAATCTTGTGTCCTCAAGGTCCTTGACAGAATACAACACCCTCACACTGTCGTCATGTCGTTATTATATTCTATTTTTGCTCATTTATTTAAACGCACAGCTTGCTCTCTTTATAATGCAAATAAGAAACAGAAGAGAGAGAGAGAGAGAGAGAGAGAGAGAGAGAGAGAGAGAGAGAGAGAGAGAGGGAGAGAGAGAGAGGGAGAGAGAGAGAGAGAGAGAGAGAGAGAGAGAGGGGGGGAGAGAAAGAGAGAGAGAGAGAGAGAGGGGGGGGAGAGGAAGAAAGGGAGAGAGGGAGGGGGAGGGGGGAATGGGGGGATAGAGAGAGAACAACGAGTGTGTGGTAGGTGGGGGGCTTTTTGGGGGGAGGGTGAATGGAGGGAGAGAGAGAGAGAGAGAGAGAGAGAGAGAGAGAGAGAGAGAGAGATAGATAGATAGAGAGAGAGAGAGAGAGAGAGAGAGAGAGAGAGAGAGAGAGAGAGAGAGAGAGAGAGAGTCAGACAGACAGACAGAACAGACAGACAGACAGACAGACAGAGAGAGACACAGAGAGAGAGATAGATAGATAGATAGATAGATAGATAGATAGATAGATAGATAGATAGATAGATAGATAGATAGATAGATAGATAGAGACAGAGACAGACAGAGACAGACACAAAGACATAATCAGAAACAGAAATAGAGACAGAGACAGACAAAGACAGAGACAAAAACAGAAACAGAAACAGAGACAGAGAAAGCTCCGCCACTGACCGTAATCTCCACAGAAGTAACAGAGGATAAGTTTGAGTTCAGCGTTGTTGGTCACCGAGTCCACCACCTGCTGCAGAGTCATGGTGGTGTAGCCTTTACGCCAGCAGGTGAACACCAGCTTGTACAGTCCGCTTGTGATCAGGAAGCGAACCACCAGCCTCGGCAGAAACTTGAGCAACACAACACCCATGAAAGAGTCGGTGGCTTCCTGCAGAATACACAGGAAAACAGTCAAGCATAATAATAGTATTCTTACGAAGTACATATAAACAACCATACTCCTATACAGTGCATAGAAAACAATCATGCATAGTTATTTATATATTCCTGTAGAGTTCCGGGAAAGTAATTATGCGTAATTTACATATTATTCCTCCATCAGAGTTTATAGAAAACAGTCATTCAAAATTAGTTTCATACTTTATTCCCCCCCAAAAAAACAAAAACAAAACAACAACAAACCCCCACACAGAATAATAATGTATAAGTCACTTATTATTCTTACAGAGTACACATACAACAATCACGCATTTACGGAAGAAAGGTGGGTGGGGGGTACGAATTTAAAGGTTCAAAGATACGGGAAGCTAAGACACCGGCATTGTAGTATCAACACTTTTTGTTGAATCCCCACAGCATCTCACAGCGTGTTTCTGGGAGTTACAATAACAACCATTCTGTTGAATAACAAAAATCTTAGGGTAGTAAGTGTATCCGAAATAAAACTATCCGAGCTTTAAGAAAAGGAAGAAAAACTTACAGTGACAAGATTCCGATATTTGTCGATGGCCTCGGTGTCCTTGGGGAACATTTCCTTGAGATTCTGGTAGAAGCGATCTTTACCTGTCTTCATAGGGAATGCCTTGGCTTTGCCGGGTGGGCCGATAGTCACCTTATGATGGAGAGCGGGAGAAAGATAGAGTTATCAGTAATTTGGCTCAAAGATTGACGTAGTGTCAATTAAATAGACTTACCCTCACGGTAATGGAACTCATGTCTTTGCGTACAATAAACAGAGATTTTGAAAAATACCCAGGAGGTCATAATTTGTGGTTAACCGGCTGCAACACTAGGCTACTTTAGAGGTGTAGTGAGGCAGCGTCGAGAAATCAGGCGCTCGTTAAGATAACCAAAGTGAAGAACCTGGCATTTTTTTTCTTCAGATTAGTGAATTTTTATCAAAGTGTGTTTTTTTTAACCTTTTGATCAACACCTTTCATGACCAATAAAAAAAACACATTTCTAGGGATTTTTTTTTACTAAAAAACGTTAATTTAAGGTACAAAAATGTAAATTTTCCGTTTCCACGGACTCTCAAACTAATCTTTGGCTGCGATTTTCTCACTCGTTTTACCCCTGAAACCAGGTGGTCCCCACCTCCTTCATTCGCAAAAATCTCAACTTGAATTTCAAGATAAATGGATATTTTGTCATCCAAAGCAAGATAAATGAACAAGCTTTAAGATGATACCAATGACTCTACATGCCCAAAAATTGACAAGAGATTGATTCCACTGCGTCGTGACACATATTGTAACGTACATATTTATGTATATTATTGCGGCCATATCGGTGAACTCTGGCTGTGGGGGATATGAACCTGGTTTGGAAGACAAGAAGAAATTCCGATGACTGGCAACGGGCAGATATTGTTCCTATTAGGAAAAAGAAATTAAAGGTAATAAAAGAGACTGGAACCTACAAAGGAATACCCTTTCTCAGCCATGTGGGTAAAATGTTTGCCAAGGTACTGGAAACGAGAATGAGACAAAAGGCATAACTCAGTGAAGCCCAATTTGGCTCTAGAAAAGGAAGAGGCTGTACTGATGTTACTTTTTGCATTAATATTTAAGATTGCCATAGCACATGACAAAGACATCGACACGGTCTTCGTGTTTACCAACGCCTTTGCTAGCACAAAGGGATACATCAAATATGGAAAGTGGAATATCTCTCTTTCAGATAGCTCACTATATAATTTCTACTGCCTCCACAGACAGAGACCACAACGTGTGACTCACAACATCGTATTCATCATCCAGCTTTGACCAGCGTAGTTGACCACCGGTCAACTGATCCATCAGTGTTTTGTTGTCGGAGCCTTCGTGAAGTTCACCGACGTAGTGAATGCCTGACGAGAGAGAGGGAAATACCGAAATATGAGTCCCCCGACGTAGTCAATGCTTGATAAAAAGATACATAATAATATAGAGCCAAGCACTCAAAACCTCCTTGATTTAGGAATACCCCCCCCCCTCCCAGATTAAAACAAGTATGTGAAAGGAGGCAAAGTGTTTTTTTTATATAGTGTGTGTAATAACTACAATCGTTATTTCGTCCAATTAAGACCTGGCGAAATAATAAATATACCCGTTCGACTGGCCCAAAAGGGATCGGATAATAGGTAGACTGCTCCAAAAGGAACTCACCTATTTACTGTGTATAATAATATGTCAAACTCAAATCCTTTCTCCACACACCCTCCCAACACACACACAACTGGAGGTCATACCTGTGTCGAACTCAGATCCCTTCTCCACAGACTGTAACATATTTCATGTCCTATCAATGGCACCCTCCATTCATCCGCTTTTCAGACTCAAATCCCTTCTCCTCGCTCCAACCACTAGTGGAAGTGAACGTCCTACCTTTGTCAAACTCAAATCCTTTCTCATAGGACCCCCCAATCACCCACAAAACTGGACGACCTACCTGTGTCAAACTCAAAACCTTTCTCCACAAAGGAGTGACAACATCCCCCGGCCTGGTCATGCTGCTCCAGCACTAGCACCCTCTTCCCCGCGCGGGACAACAACGCGCCCGCGGACAGCCCGCCGATCCCGCTGCCGATCACGATAGCATCCAGATTCTCCGGAACTTTGCTGGTCTTGAATTCTGCACACAGATAACAAGAAGATCATTGTTATAATAATATTATTATCTGCACAAAGATAACAACAAGATCGTTGATATATTATTATAATCTGCACACAGGTAACAACGAAACCGCTGATATAATATTATTATCAGGTCTGCAGGGGTAATAATGATAGCATGTAGCATGTAAAGCGCATAGAGCTTCCTTTAGAGCGGGTATGTGAGCTGTGTCAAACTCAAAACCTTTCTCCACAAAGGAGTGACAACATCCCCCGGCCTGGTCATGCTGCTCCAGCACTAGCACCCTCTTCCCCGCGCGGGACAACAACGCGCCCGCGGACAGCCCGCCGATCCCGCTGCCGATCACTGTCTATTATCATTATAATCATATGTGGGACATCATGGTGAAACCAGGTGCTCGTCAAAATAGTGGAATCGAAGAAACCGACATTTTTTGCCTTGCATTGTACAGCGGAAGGAGCTTGCCGTTTAGCGGGAGGCATATTATTATCATTATTATTTAAAAAAAATTTTTTTTTTAATTAAAAAAAAATTTATTATTATTATTATTATTATTATTATTATTATTATTATTATTATTATTATTATTATTTATTATTATTATTTTTATTATTATTATTATTATTATTATTATTATTATTATTTTTATTATTATTATTATTATTATTATTATTATTATTATTATTATTAATTTTATTGTTTTTATTGTTTCTTTTTTTTTTTCAATACGATTTTTAAAGGAATTTTTAATATGACTACCGGGTTCAAATTCAATTTCAAATCAAGAAACAAAACCAAAACCCCAAAAACTCTGTTGTATGTTCACTGCCTCGTTAACGCGAAAGCACAGACATTCGATCTGAGCCCCTCACAAAGAATTTAGGAAACTGAGAATTTACATTTTTTTACTTTTTTATTAAAAAATGTCTTTATCATGACTCAAAGAGGTCACCCTTCAAATTAGAATAATAAGAAAAATAAAACCCCAAGCGTTGACATGTCTTTACTTTAGATTTACAAAGTTCTTTCTAATAGTTTTTGGCCGTTTTGAGTTACAAAGACCATGAGGTCAGAAACCAGATGCTCTATCTGCTCTTTTAAAATCGTAAGATTATTCGGAGTGGCTATCAGGATATTCATATATAGATCTGCATTTGAAAAAGCTTGACATTTATCTCCGTGAAACCCATCACGCTTCACGTCAAATTTCTCGAAACTCTGTACTGAGGAGATTGAACTTCGTAATAATCCCGGTGTAGCGATTCACATTTAGCCACATTCACATTATGCCATGACTTCATGAAGCCTGAGCTATCTTATTTCATTAGGAGTTAACACGGCACTGTTACTGTTTTTTTAAATTTTAAAACATCTGATAATGGCCGCGACAAATCATTCTTTGTGACATGAGAGCGAGTTGTGTGTTCAGTAAGTGGCACCTTGTAAAAAAATCTACTCAGAATCGTGATTTCGAGAACGTTTACCGAAACATGATCTGCTACTGAAATTCTAGAACGTGGATATTCGCTATCTCAATGCAAATATTATTAGATCTATTATTATTATTATTATTATTATTATTATTATTATTATTATTATTATTAGTAGTAGTAGTAGTAGTAGTAGTAGTAGTAGTAGTAGTAGTAGTAGTAGTAGTAGTAGTAGTAGTAGTAGTAGTAGTAGTAGTAGTAGTAGTAGTAGTAGTAGTAGTAGTAGTAGTAGTCGTAGTGGTATTAGTATTGTTGTTTTTATTATTATTATTATTATTATTATTATTATTATTATTATTATTATTATTATTATTATTATTATTATTATTGAATGTATTATTATTATTTCAACAAGACACAAAGTTGAACCATTATGAGTGAGGCCCAAATGGGACTTACAAAGGTAAGAGGATGCACCGACGCAATATTTGCCCTACGTTATATGTGCGAAAGGGCAATAGAACACAATAGGGAACTAAACATAATATTTGTCGACTAGGAGAAAGTGTTCGACAGAGTGAACAGAAACAGGCTGTGAAAAGAACTCGAAAACTACTCTGTAAGAGACCAACTTCTAGATAACATCTGCGCCATTTACGAGAACAGCATAAGTACAGTAAGAACGTCAGAAAGACTCACAGAATGGTTCGAGATAACATCAGGGGAAAGACAAGATTGTGTCTTGGGGAACGGAAAATTGTGCATGTTTTATCATGTTACGCAACGGAGTACTCAATAAGCCGCCCTTCCTGTGCGCGTAAATTGCGCAGGTTTTTTAGTTTGGTATCGATTATGAGGTACCTGTGGCCGACCTCGACAATTTTATCAGTTTGAGAGTTCACTGAAAATCGTTCAAGTAGTAGACTTCTCTACGAGGCTGGGTGTCGGAGGGGGTACATTGCTTAGCTGAAAATAATCGGACAAGTTTGTCTCTCAGAAGAGCCAGAAAATAAGTACATTTATATTTGCGGCTTTGTATAAATTGATATGTATGCCCGATGCTATTTAGTCGTGCTCAAAAAAGAAACTTAAAATGGAGGTTTTCATGACAGAGAAAGGACGAAAAAATATGTATACAATAAAATGAAATAACAGTCTTGATAAATGGCTAGCGGAAGAAGTCTACCTCTTAAATTTGCACTTATAGAATTTCAAGTCGGTACCATGTCCAATACCTTCATAACCTAAGAAGTACTCGATACCGAAAATCCCTGCGCAATTTTCCAACAGGTTTTAGAAAATCTCTTTGAACTTTTTGACAATAGGATTAAAAACCAGCCCAATGTTCCACTGCCCTGTGTCTTATCACCATTACTATTTATCATATATACGGATAGAATTACAAAAGAGGCCAACACAGAACCAGGGGCCCTAAATGAATTACTCTTCGCTGATGACCAAAGCCTGGCACACAAAGATGAACAAAGTCTCCTACACCCCACCACCAGATTAAACGAAGAGTGTAACGACTACGACATCAAGATCAACATTAACAAAACAGAGACAATGAAAGTAAGCAGAAAGCCAGGACCACTCAGGATACTCATCAACAACAACAGTCTCAGACAGGTCCTAGATTTATGTACCTTGGAAGTATTCACAGAGGATGGGCGACAGAACAGAGAAATTGAAACACGAGTACAAAAGGCCAATAATGTTAGTTACCAGGTTACTCCACTACTGAAATATCCTAACATCTACATGACAACAAAACTCAAAATGATCAACACATATGCATCCCAACACTCACATATCAATGCCAAACATGGACCACAATCAAGGCATTGGAGCAAAAAATTACAACCTGTGAAATGCGATGTCTTAGAAAAGCAGTAAATAAGACCAGGCGAGACAACAATAGAAACCTCAGTAATCCGAGAAATGGCGGGCACAAATGATGTCATGCCTCACATCCAGCACCAAAGAATCACATGCTTCAAACATCTAAGGCGATTACCAACACACTATCAGGCACAACATGCCTACATAAAAAATTCAATGGCAACAAGGCAAGAGGGCGACCGAGAAAGACCTGGATAGATGGAGTCAGGGAAACACTAACAACTCAAACGGCATCCCCCTGACCCAAGCCCTCCGGCTAGTTGCAGAGAGACGTCCCTTTCTTCCACCAACGCATAAAAGGGTATAAGCGGCGGATAAAAAAAAGAATATATATAT